CCCCCCCCTTTTTTGGGTACCGTGGCAATCATTTGCAATCCACTGCAGCCTTTGCATTTGGGGCATTTAAGTTGATAATCTTTCTGTTTTCTCTTTCTTTATTTCATCATTTGCTTCTTTAGATTATTTGGAATCTTATCATACCTTGCTCCAAGTTTTCAATTTTCTTGCATTCTGTTTCGTTGATTATTTCTGTGGGTAGGTTGGGACATTTAATTCATGCATGAGCCAGACCACCATCAGGTTGAGAGGTAAGGGAAATTGTTATAAAAGTTTGCATTTTGATAGTTTTATGTTTAATTCTTGGACTGTTTCATGCATTCCCCTGGTTCCTGTACCCAGTCAGTTAAGCAGAACTTGCAACTTTTATCATGGAAAACCATGTCATTCCTGGCCAACCATATGGACCACATCCCTGCTTCCTACACTACTTTCCATCCTACTACCTCTTTTTTTTATTGTTGAATGAGACAGACTGATGCACGTAGGCTGGCTTGCATGCATTTTTCAGGTAAAAGGCCTGTCACTCGCCCACCATTTCCATCACCTAGTCCGAACACCTAGTCCCAACAACATTTGAAATTTTACACCGCCAAAACATGTGAATGTGATGCAAATCTTCGATTTCATTCCCACAAAATGCACACATAAGCACGCTTGAATCATCCAAAATTCCAGGCCTAAACAGATTTGATCTGGTTGGAACTTTATCATGTATTGCCTACCAATTGAATGCGACCAGTGGGTTCCAGATTAGGTTGAAGATGCTCCTTCCCCCACTCACATGGCTTGATGGCAGTATTGCATATCCTGACTTGACAGAATGTGAACCTTCACTTGAATGCTTCCATTTCCGTGTGTCCACCCATCCTTGCCTTAGCTGCACCTCATCCAGTAAGCAATTTAGCTCTTCCACAGTTCAACTGGACTCTGTTCCCAGGTGAAAAGGGTTCAGAGATTCAATATTTAAGAAATGTTTCTTCCATCCATCTTCTTGCACCTTCTAGACAAGTTGCGCAGTTAGAGATTCAAAATTGTATAGGTTCTTCTATTCAAAATTTGATTTTAAGCCCCGGTTTCAAACTGTTTTGGGCTAGTCCTAATCGCATATGCCCAAAATGGTATGGACCTATTTGGAAGTAGCAAAGCAGTTGTCACGCTAGCGTTTTTCAAACTTTGACGAACTAACCCTTGTTGGATTGGTTTGAAAGGATGTTTTTCTCCAAATAAGTTTTGCCTAAAAAATTTGTTGAGAGAATTTTGTCAGAATTTTTTTTTTTTTAATCACCACGTTACAAAGTACTATAACTCTTACGACAAAGGTTTTTTTAACGAAATATGATAGAAGTTTTACTTAAATGGTATTTTTTTTATATATATTTAATGAGAAATAATTGTCAAAATTTTTAAAAAAATTTTATGATGGTTGGCTCAAGGGATTAAAGTTAAAGAATTATTTGAATTATGTTGAGATATAAGTTTAAATCCCTTTAACATCATTTAAGTGAACAAT